ATATATATATATATATATATATATATATATATGTCTGCATATGATATATATAAATGTTCTAAAAATGTTTAAAGATTCACAGCTGAAAACGGTTTTCGCTATAAACGTATATATTCTTACGGTCTGTGAAGGCATCATGACTACTGTGACATGCGCAGTAGAGCTCTGTCCTCGGTTTTCAAATCAAACCTCCAGTTTCTGCTCGATGCGTTGATTTTTTCCTACACACCCTGAACATATCATTAAAACGCGCGCAGTTTAATGTTTCTGGTCATAAACAGATTTATATTTGTCCTGATATTGAACACTGGAAACAAGAAAAACAGAAAAATAAAGAATGTTTTAGACTCTTTTTAACAGAAGACTTTAAAAATATTGTGTTTATTTTCAGGACATGTCATATAAAATGATTTAGATCTGAGTTTTGTTGGCTGAACGTGTTTCAGTGATAAATTAATAAAATATAAAACTGAACAGGTATTTTAGCTTCTTATCTTAAGATGGAAACTTTTAGGACATCGAGTCCAAACTGGATCCGGCTCTGGTTCGGCTGTAGTTCTGCACCGGCATCCAAGGTTCTCCTGCAGGTTCCGTGCTATCAGTCAGAACCTTTTCCTCCAGATGTTCCTGAACAAACTGAATAATCTTAAACACACAGAGCCGAGCTTCAGTTAAAAACCAGCTGGTGTGTGTTATATAAACGCAGTTCAACGATAAACTGGAGGCGGTGTTGGTTCTGGAGGCCTTGCAGACCCGTTTGTGTTCTGATGGGATCTCAGAGAACAGAAGGAAAGCGGCTGATTTATCTTTGAAGGCTCAGCTTGAATCTGACGGCAGAAAAACATAAACAGGTTTTAGCTTCAAATGTACAGAAACAAATACAAAGAAAAGTTTTGTGGAATCAGAACCAGCTGGAGGAACATTTTATATCTAATGACGTCAGAGGACTGGATTAGAAACTCCCAGAAGTAAAGATGCAGAGGTTCACCAGTCTGTCTGAAAATAGTGGAACAATTTCAGAATAAAGTTCCTGAATAAAATACTTTGACAATCTCCGGTTCATAATCTCGTCACCAGATTAGAAGAATCTCTGAGGGTGAAAGTCAGTATTTCATGGTTGTAATCTTTGAGCCCTCAGGGGCCACTGGATTAAAATCAGGTCTGGTTCTGTTCTGGACTTCACTGCATGCTGAGGAACACTTCCACAGATCGTTGTCTGTCAAACACAAATGCTGCTTAAAGCTCCGTCAGAGAAGTAGTAATATGTGAACTTCTCTGGACCTGCGCTCGTTCAAAATGGGCTGAGGTGAAGTGGAGAACTGTTCTGTAGTCAGATGGATCCAAGTCTGAGGTTCTGTTTGGAAGCCATCCCGACTCTTTCCTGCTCACAGGTCAGAAGCCTGCCTCTCTGATGGTATGGGGGTGCATTGGTGCCTTACACATCTGGAAAAGCTCCAGATGATCCATGCAGTAAATAATGTGCGGGTTTCAGAACATCTGCTTCTTCAACCCAGCAGAGCAGATCCATGACAACTTCCTCCCTGCTCGAAATCTGGGAGGTAAACAAAACAAGTTTTATTTTGAAGAAGCAGGAACTCCTTGTTGTTGAGCATCTGAAGTCTTTTTCTAACAGCAGCGAGCAGTTCAGGATCCTTCGGTGTGGACCAGATCGGACCTCCACCCCCCCCCCCCCCCCCCCCCCCCGCACCAGGTGGATCTGTCTCACCTGATCAGCTTCAAGCTCCTTAATCGGATCAGGAGGTCGGAACTGTGTGAACTGAAAGCTGAACCGACAGGAGGACGGATCAGAGCCTGTTTTGAAGAGAGCAGACGCAATTTGAATTGGGTGGAGCCTGTCGGTGGGCGTGGTCAGACAATGGGCGGGGCCTAGCCGCCTTTAGAAAGTGAAGCAGCTGCTGTTGGACGGAAACTTTATGAGAAGCTGACAACAACTGCGGCAGGTCCCTTTGCTAAAAATACACCCAGACCCACATACCACCGGTGGACTGGTCCCATAGTCTGGACTGGGGGGGCTGCAGGTCCAGATATAAACTCAGAACCACCTGCTCTATAAATAACCTCTTTGTGGAACACAATCCAGATGAGAGGAGGTTCTGACCCAGAGCAGGCACACCATTCATCACACATTTTGTTGTTTTCAGAACCAGCTGAGGTTTTTGGCTGGATCTTCTCTGGTTTTTAAACTTTCAGTTTCTGAAATTCAAGCTTTTCACAAGTAAAATAATAATAATTCAACCCAAATAATGAAACTTTGGTTTAAAAGTTGTTGTTTTTTCCATCACAAACTAAAAATATGCATTTTCAGCCGCAGAGCTGTTCATTATTTTGTTTTTTTTCCTTTAGTTTTCCGGTTTTTGTTTGTAAACACAATATTGTGATGAAACCTGCTGCCCCCTGCTGGTCAAACGAAATATTACATTTAACTGTTTTGAAAATTGAGCAGAAAAATCTACAAATTTGAGCAAAAGTGAAACGAAAACATTCAGAAACTGCTTTTTAATCTGTTTTAACCATGTCAGAATTTTAAGTGGATTAAATTAAATCTTAATCTAATCTGAATTATTTAAAGTGCGTTTGAAATTTTTTTTTTTTTAATTCTTTCAAATAATTAAATTCAAATAAAAAACAGAAGTTTTGATGTTTAGTCATTTTGTGTCACATGATGAGTTTATTAAATAAATTAAAAATTCACTAAATGTATTAAAAAATTATATTTATTAGTTAATTGTCAGGTTTCTGGTGTCTGGCGCCTTCATCACTCCTCCTCCTCGTTTGGGTCAGAAGAAGCCGAGCTCCTGCAGCAGGTCCACATTCAGGTAAACTCGACAGAACGTGAGGAACACTCCAACAGATGAGAACGCGATCAGAACCCACAGAACTTTTGCGCTGAAGTAGAGCGGCGACAAACTGAAAGAGAAAACAAAAACGTTACGACTGTCTGAGAGCTCAGGACGTCCTGACTCAAACCACCACACCACCGTGCTGACAGCTGGGATGAGGTGATTGCTGCAGTGCATTCTGGGTAAACATGTGTCCACTGTTCTGGTTCTGTCCCAGAAGTCCTACAGTTCCTTCTGATGAATCTTTGTGCTGTCATGTTGTTTTCTTAGCAAAAAGAAGCCACGACCTTTGACCTTAAACATGCTAAGTGAGGCCTGGAGAGTTTGAGATGAACTGCACAGTCTGACCTTCGGGGTGAACAAGCTGTAAAATGACCTTTGACCCTTCCCAGATTGACTAGCAGCAACAGCTGCTTCTCTGAGGTTATTGCTGATGTCTTTCCATTCTGGCGTTGTGTTAGCACACACCTGTATGGAGTTACTGTAACAAACAGAACCAAAACTCCGCCTCCTGCAGAAGCTCGGCTGTTTGGACCGCAACGTGTGACAGAGGTCAGTTTCTTACCGCCCGTGTGCCGACTCGGCGTATCCCCTGAAGTAACGCAGCCGTCCGTATAAGTACAGCAGCCCGCAGAAGCTGGACACACCTGCAGAAGACAGGCACACGGCTGCAGTGAGGCGAGAGCGTCGTCGACTCGTCGGACCTGAGGACTCACCTTGGCTGAAGAAGATGCCGGACATCCACAGCAGAGTGATGAAGATGGGGAAATACTCTGAACAGTTTACTCTGGACACAGAACAGATTCAAGGAGTGAGGTTAGTCAGTAAAATAAAATCAACCTGAAACTAGAAACTGAACAACGAGACGCTCATATAACCACCACCACCAGGTGGCGCTTCATTTTATACAATCTACCAAACTGCTGTGGTCTTCATCACTCGGCTGTGAGGAACACATCCATCCATCCATTATCTTTACCCACTTCTTCATTTTCGGGTCACGGGGGTCACTGGTACCCATGTCCAGCTATCACTGTGCGAGAGGCGGGGGACGCCCTGGACAGGTCTCCAGTCCATCACAGGGACACATAGAGACAAACACCTAGGAACTATTTAGAGTTACCAATCAGCTGCATGTTTTTGGTCTGTGGGAAACAACCAGAGTACCTGGAGAAAACCCACGCATGCACAAAGAGAACGTGCAAACTCCACCCAGAAAGACCCCCGGACTGGGATTATAGCTCATCTATTATTTAAACTGAGTTTTTAAGGTTTGTTGTTTAAAGGCTCAGGGTGTGAACTTTGCTCCACCTGGTGGTTTCAGAATCAACAACAAACGTGGATTTTCTCTGGGTATCCAATTGGCAACTCTAAATTGTCCCTAGGTGTGAGTGAGAGAGTGAATGATTGTCTCGTTTGTCTCCATGTGTCCCTGTGATGGACTGGAGACCCGTCCAGGGTGTCCCCCGCCTCTCACACAGTGATAGTCGGACATGGGCACCAGTGACCCCCGCAACCCAAAAAGGAAAAAGCAGGTAAAGATAATGGATGGATGTGTTTGTTTCTGATACAGCAGTCCCTCGATTGTCGCGGGGGTTACATTGCACACACACCCACGATAGGTGAAAAAACACAAAGTAGGAATGCTCCATTTATTTTAGTATTTATATTTATGTTAAGGCTTTATAAACCCTTCCCACACTCTTGCAATGTTCTAAACTCTTAAACCTACATAATGTTAACACATTGTACATGTACAGTACTGCAAAATTGTACTCAAATTACTAACAGCAGCTCAGTTCTGGTTCGGCAGACCCGCCCTGCAGTGACGAAGTCCACACAGGAAGCTTCAGGATTTTTTTGTGACTTCCCCGTCAGTTCTGTGAATTAAACGATAGATCGTTACTTCCGACTTTGTGTTGAAAAACTTTCCCTCCGTTTCGTCAGAAAGCAGCGGCCAAAAGCACTGTTGGCTTCTGGGTAGTGTAGTTCTTTAGACTGGCCTTACAGTATAGGATTATTGAAAGAAAACTACAAAATGGCGACGCCTGTCCATAGTATTTTTTCGTTAACTTTTCATCCCGTACCATCCCAATCACGAGTAACATTAAAGTTGACAATAGTTGAAAACGCAAAAGAGCGAGTCTGCGAAAGTCGAACCGCGAAGCAGCGAGGGACTACTTACTGTACAGGCTTTCTAACCCGGCTGCTCAGAATCTGGGTCCACTTAGATCAAACAGAAACTGACATTCAAAAATGTTCTTGTATTTTTCTTTTTGCACAACCTCTGTTTGCATGTGGTCAAGAGGTACAAACAACAGAAAGCCTCAAAATCTGATAAATATCCAGATGAGATTAATTCAATTTAATTTAATTCAAAAATACTTTATTAATCCCAAGAGTAAATTAAATGCTGTTGTAACTCGTTATCCTCATTTCATTAAAATATGTTATACGTAGATACTGACGGCTGTAGGCAGGAAGGATCTTTTGTAATGGTCCGTCGCACAGCGGATCTGAAGAAACTGGCTGCAGATGCCGTCCGATCCGTCCACCCAGACTCGACTGGTCTCTCAGTTCCCCTGGGATGCAGGACCATCCGAATGCCGGGCTGAACTCCTCACAGCAGTCTGATGAGCTCCTCGTCACTGCGGACAGGCGGCTGCAGGCGTCAGGGGATGATCCCGTCCTTCTGCTGTCACGAGCCGTGTTTCCTGCTAGTTCCAGGATCTCAGTGGTCAGGCACTCGAGCACAGACGGCAGGTAGATGGGAATGCGTCCACAGCGCCTCCTTTTCAACTCATTTGAGATTTGGGGCTGTAGTTGACTGAGCTTTTGAGACGTTAATCAGCTGCTCCCAGTTGTTAAAAAAAAATCCCACCTTGTTGTCATGGTTACGCATCATAACAAATGTCCAAAAGTAAAAAAGTTTCAGTAAAAATCCTTCCAGCTGCACAGCATTCAATAAAAAAAGTGATTTACATCCAGAAAAAAAGAGGAATTAAAGTTTCTAAAAGCAATATCTCAAAATGAATGTAGCTACTCCAACATGCAGCCACCACGAGCGGCGCAATTCTAGAACTGTAACAGACTCATAGGAACGCACAAATCTATTTATCCATTTCTATTCCAACAATCAATTTCAATTATAAGGAATGAAAACTGCTGCTCAGAGGACTTCAGTGGAACGTTTTCCATCCACATCTGTTTTAATGCCTTAACCCACCAGGACACCGGTCTGACGAGGGCCTCGTCCACACGGGAACACCGTTTCTTGTAGTTTTCATCCGCACAGAAACGCAGAAAGAAACCGAACGCTGCAGTAACTCTGCCACGCCTGCAGGGGGCGCTGTGACGCCGGGACGGGACCACTCTGGGTCGGTATCGCGAACCAAATAAACACATTTGTTTTCTTACAAACTATGTAAAAGCACAGACTGACTGAGCTCTGAAGATCCGCTCAAACTCAGGCGGTCCGTTGGTGTTGGGAGGGGAAACGGAGTACTTCCTCCTGGCGTAGATGACCTGCAGGGAGAAATAAGCTGCAGACAGAAAAACAAATCAATGTTAGATTTTATTCGCTGGGTTCAAAGTGCACGGCTGCTTAAAGAGTAAAGTTCACGCTGCGTCTGCAAAAAATGCAAATGCGAGTCATAAAACAAACGAGAACAAAACAAAAATCCTGTTGTTTTGACGGCACGTTTCAACAGAACTAAACAGCTCGAAACTGAAATGTGCAGAAAAACAAATGATCAAAATCCTGAAAAAAAACATTAATCTTTAACAAGTTTAAAGAAACTGGTCCAGATGAAATGATGCAACCTTTTTTGTTGTTATCTACCTGGATGATTGAGCCTACAAACCTTTTTCAGACCTGATGTCAAACACAAACAGAATCTAATGTCAAACCGGATCAAACGGAACCGACCCTAAGATTTCCCAGCATGCACTGCTCGCACCTTGTTCCAGGACGCCCAGCACGGTAACGGCACCGAGTCCGACCACAGCCTCCTCCATCTCTGAGCTGTAGATAAGACACACTGATGTGTTCACAGGAGCTGAGACAGAGCATACCTGCAGGGGGCGGAGCCCGAACACACCTGCTGTCAATCAAATGAAGGTCTGTCTGAGGGTCATGTTTACATTTTGGACGTCCTTAAATTTCACTTCCTCTTGGAGATAATTTAGTCAGAATGTTTTTTGCAATTTGTTAAAATCTAGCCAGTCCGGTTGAACCGGTTTCTATTTGTACCTGATGGGTTCTGATGATGAGAAGACCAGCTGAGTTTCAGGTGTTGTCTTCAGGTGCACCAGAGCAGCTCAGGACCCACCTCCTCATCCTCTTCAGAAGCACAACAGAACCCTGATCCAAACCCCGAACCATCACATAACCAGGCTTTTGGAGTGGCTGCTGACAACATTCTGGATGCTGGTTTCCATCTTCGGTCATTTTCTCCAAGAAAGTACTGAAGTCCTGATCCGTCTGACCCAGGTTTTCACTTTGTGATGGTCAGACCCCATAGTACCCAGAGAATTTGATGCCACCTTAGAACCGGGTCAACGTCAGGCTTCTTCTCTGCTCAATGAGGTTTGGAACGGTCTAGAAGTTGTTTCATCAATTCAAACCAAAATGTTCTGGAACCACAACCAGTGGTTTAGTTTCTGCAGAACAGGCCAACGCTGACCCTCAGGAGGGGAGGGAGGAGGAGTGATTTGCGTGTGAGTTCAGCTCAGTCCAGTTTTATAAATTCTTAAAAACGTCAAATTTAATCAGATAGTCATTTTATTTTTAAAACTTGTTTTCTGATCAAGTTTTTCAACAAAACCTGATGGCTTACTGAAGGGGAGGAGTCTAACAAGTTGAACTTCTTGAAGGGGAGGAGTCTAACAAGTTGAACTTCTTGAAGGGGAGGAGTCTAACGTATACGACCAGAGCTGTAATTTAATTGGGGAGGGTGGACGCTGGCAAACCAGCCACTGGGGAGCACAAGCCAGTGTACCTCTTGTGCCATGCCCAAGCCCAACCCCGGGTAAATGGTGATGGTTGCATCAGGAAGGACATCTGACATGAAACACTTTTCATCGCTTAGGGACCATCGATAAATTACCAAACATTCTTGAGAGAGAGAAAAAAGAGCTTTCATGTCACATGACCCACTGACACAAAACAGTCCAGCCCTACAGCACAGTCACTACCTGGATGCTGCTGATGGACAGGACGCCCTCTTGTTCTGGACAATGAACACGCAGACTCTTCCTTCACCGTTTCATGTGGCCACCAGAGTCTTGGCAGTCCCTGCACGTAGCGCTCCAGTGGAGCCAGTGTCCAGCTATGGTGGCATCATTCTACGGCCTCATGGTGCACAAATGACTGACGGACTTTTGGCCAGTTTGGTCTTTTGCTAATGCAGAATAGCTAACTGAAATAACTTAACGTGCACATTCCTGTTCAGTTCATACATTTGTTTTGTTTCCGTCACACATGGACACATGCAAACACGTGCTCACCAAGTGACCAGATGAGAGGAAATACATTTACTGTGATGGTTCTTTGTTATGAACTGTGGAAATGTCAGCAACTTTTGTCCGGACATGGAGTTCTGTTTTCGCATTTGCCACAAAATGTTTATTCTGGAAAATTCTAGTTTAAAGGATGACTATTGTAGTAGCTACGTTTTATCGAACTGTGCAATGTAAAGGTGCAATTTTAGAATGACTTTTTTTAACACTTGGTAAATTCAGTTGCACGTTTCATCACGATTTGAGATAGACATTTTAAAAAGAACGCACAGGTTATTTACGTTTAACACAACTGCAACATTGTTTAAAAAATACTCAAAAGGACTTGAAATTTCAAGTTTCAGACTGGACAGTTGCCTGTCTTTACTTGAGACTTGACTCTGGACTTGAGGACAAAGACTTGAGACTTACTTGATTCTTGCAAACCAATGACTTGGTGTGTCATCTGGACAGAGGATGGATGATAAGGAAACCTGGTGGTGGAATAGTGAAGTGCAGGACGCCGTTCAAAGAAAGAGGTTAGCCAAGAAGAAATAGGACGGTGAAGAGAGGAGACAGGATTATAAGGAGATGGGATGGAGAGCAAAGAGGGAGGTAGCTAAGACAAAACGGAAGGTGTATGTGTTGTATGGGAGTCTGGACACAAAAGAGGGCGAGAAGGACTTGAACTGATTAGAGAAAGAGAGGGATCAGGCTGGAAAGGATGTGCAGCAGGTTAAGCTTGTTAAAGATAGGAATTGTAATGTCCTAACAAGTGAGAAGAGTGTGACGGGAAGATGGAAGGAGTACTTTGAAGAGCTAATGAATGAAGAGAATGAAAGAGAAAGAAGAGTAGAGGTCAAAGAAACTGTGGACCAGGAAGTGGGAATGATTAGCGAGGGTGAAGTCTGGAAAGTCCTGAAAAGAATGAAGGAGAAGGTAGTAGGACCTGATGACATGCCAGTGGAGGTTTGGAAGTGTCTTGGAGATGGCAGTGAGGTTTTTGACTCAAACATTCAATGGTATATTTAAGGGTGAGAAAACACCTGAGGAATGGAGAAGTGTGCTGGCGTCCATTTTTAAGAACAAGAGTTGTTGTAGCAACAAGTACAGGGGAATAAAGTTGATGAGTCACACATTGAAGATCTGGGAGAGAGTTGTGGAAGTTTTCAAATTTGTTCAAAGTAATCTTTTTATAGCATTTTAAATTTTTACAAGAAGTTTCACCTTTAAAGAGTCATCTAAAATGTTTGAAATAAAAGCACAAACGAGAAATTTGTTTCTAAAAGAACTATATTTACATAATACTCTTGTTTTACAGAGAACCATATCAAAAGTATAAAATACTTACAAAAATCTGCTGCAATATATAAAAATAACTTCTATCTTCCGCAGATCATTAGGAAAGGTTTACATAAAAAATATATATTTATAGACATTTACAAAGAGCCCGTTCACAACAAATAATCCCAGAAAAGCTGACGGATGGAGCGAAGGCGGAAATTTGACAAAAATTAAAACGTTTTCCTCGTTTAAAACGTGAAGTCAGAACTGGACAGCAGACGGTCCAATGGGACTGCGATTTGCAGTAAAACTATAAAACTTAACGCTTGAATTAAAAACTAAAACTTAACTCGCATCAAGCTTCAGATCCGGTGGGAAACTCAGGAAACAAGAAGTCCAAATCCTTTCACAGGAACCGTTTTACATCGCAGGTTTTGTTGTTATCACTCCGAGTAAAAATAACGAAAATCAGCCTGAAATTATAATCCCTGCGTTTGTTCAACACATTTAAAATGTAATAGTTCCTGAGATAATTGGTTCCATTTTTAATAATAGAAATCTTCAAATGGTTCAAGATCGACTAAAATAAAACTGAAAATTTGGAACAAACACAATAAAATTTTACATCACTGTACATTTAGAATCAGATTAGGAAAAAATAAACTTTTTTTATGTATGTTTGCATTTTTATTATCTGAATTGTGAAGAGTTTAAAGTTTGTTTTTAGTTCTTTAAACAAAATAAATGAATTTAACTCATTTGTAAAACTAATATTTAGAATTTTTGGACTCCTGAAAAAATATTTGGCTCCTACAGCTAAATTATCAAACACAAGAAAAAGGACTAAAATGCAGTTTTACTGACTTGTAGCTGAATAAAGTACCAGCTGAAGACTTAACTTAAAACTTTGGATTATTAATTTTTTACTTTTCCACAAGACGTGCTGAGTTAGTCTGCAGTGTTTAATAATTTAAACATTGTATAAAAATGTAAATTACATTTTTATTCTAGCTGATGAGGGGTCATTTACTGTGACTCGAATGAAGCAGTTTCGGCTGAGCTTTTAACACAAATGAAACTAATAGACTAAAAATAACCCGGCGCCTTGTTTGAATAAACAAAACGAGCTATTGTTGAGGACGTTAAAATGTTTGTCTTGTTTCCATAAATTTCCCTTCAGTATGAAAACCAACCAGCGATAAATGCTTCGATGAGAAGATGAAATGTTGCAGTGGGACGGGACGATGACTCGTGTCTTAACGCTCGCCGTTGTTTTATTTTTGTTTGGCCTCAGAAATCAAACGAGGATCAGTTTCTGCTGCCGGCCTCCGGTGGGCGCTGTGGGGCAGAACAGTGGTTCAGTAGTACTCAGTGCGACGCCGCGGCGCGTTTACGGATTATTTTCACACTTCGGCTCCAACGCGTTCATCGACACTCCTGGTGGAAAACTGAAAGAGCTAAAAATTAAACTAATATGTGCTGCCGAAAACTTTTTTTTTTTTTAACTTTAACTCATCGTTTGTTAACAGACAAAATATCGATGACTCAAGTTTAATTTGTTGGATTTTATTATCGGGATTCAAACGAGTGGTTGAGTTTAAAATACAAAACTTTTTTCTTCTTCCAACTGACAGAATTAAAAAATATGTTTGATTTTTATCTGTATATTTAGAAAAATAAAAATGTTTGACAGAGACCATTTTCTCATATTTTGACCCCAAAACGCATTAACTAAAATAAATTACAACACCCTGTTTATATAACAGTGTGCTTTAATAACCACCAAACCTGGTTTGAATTAATCTACACAGATTACAGATTTATGAAAACAGTTTGTGATTTGGGGGAATATATATAAAATATTTTGTTTAGGCATCTGGACCACTTTGATCCAGATCCCATTTATAAGAACTGTTGGAATCTGGACCAGATTATCCTGCAGACTCTTTAAAACCCGTATGATGGGACAGACCTTCATTATATTTATAGAATCACAAACAATGAGAGAACGTGACAATTCTGTGGTTTGGAAGACGTCCAAATTAAGACATTTGGATGAAACTTCTAGTAAAAATACAAACAGAATATTTTTGACAAGTTGAACTGGTTTCAGATTTTGAACCAGTGCTGATCTCAGGTGGTCCAAATGACAATAATTATGTGAAATAGCCCTTTACCTCACAGTGAAATCAGAAGCTAACTTCAGCGTTGTCTTGTCTTGGAGATAATTTTATTGTTTTAGTAAAAGATATTAATCACTCCATGTACCACAGAACTACAGTATATTTCTGTGGAACTACAAGGTTGTTTTCATTTCTAATTATCTTGTTGTCTGAATTACAGTTGGTGTCAAAATATGAGAAAATGGGTCATCACTGGTAGTTTGTTTCTGTTTGGCAACAATTATATTTTGTTTTTCTAAATATGAAAAGAAATATCTTACCATTTTCTGATAATAAAAAACCTTGAATTAAAAAAAGATTTTTTGTATTTCAAACAAAAAGAATCAAACCACTCTTTTTTCCTCCCAACAAAAGTTCCTGAAAAGAAAATCCAACAACCAAAACGTTCAGAGTGAAGATGCGAAACAAAATAAAAACTAAGCGTTTGTAAAAATTCAGATCAGTCAGAGGAAGTGAACTTTGACCTTTAGTTGTCTGTTCTACCGCTCTAAAAATATAAATTTATGATCCATAAATGTCAGGATATTTTGAAAATTGTTCCTTGGTCTAAAATAAAACATACAGGTGCTGGTCATAAAATTAGAATATCATGAAAAAGTTGATTTATTTTAATAATTCCATTCAAAAAGTAAAACTTGTATATTATATTCATTCATTACACACAGACTGATATATTTCAAAATGTTTATTACTTTTAAAGTTTATGATTATAACTGAAAACTAATGAAAACCCCAAATTCAGTATCTCAGAAAATTAATTATTGTGAAAATATTGAAGAGACCTGGTGCCACAACTCTAATCAGCTAATTAACTCAGAACACTGGCAAAGGCCTTTAAATGTTCTCTCAGTCTTGTTCTGTAGCTACACAATCATGGGGAAGACTGCTGACTGACAGTTGTCCAAAATACGACCATTGACACCTTGCACAAGGAGGGCAAGACACAAAAGGTCATTGCTAAAGAGGCTGGCCGTTCACAGAGCCCTGTGTCCAAGCACGTTAATAGAGAGGTGAAGGGAAAAAAACGATGTGGTAGAAAAAGTGTACAAGCAATAGGGATAACCACACCCTGGAGAAGATTGTGAAACAAAACCCACTTCAAAATGTGGGGGAGATTCACTAAGAGTGGACTGCAGCTGGAGTCAGTGCTTCAAGAACCACCACGCTCAGCTGTATGCAAGACAAGAGATTCAGCTGTCACATTCCTTGTGTCAAGCCACTCCTGAACAACAGTGTCAGAAGTGTCTCACCTGGGCTAAAGACAAAAAGGACTGGAATGCTGCTGAGTGGTCCAAAATTATGTTTTCTGATGAAAGTACATTTTGCATTTCCTTTGGAAATCAAGGTCCCAGAGTCTGGAGGAAGAGAGGAGAGGCAAAGAATCCATGTTGCTTGAGGTCCAGTGTCAAGTTTCCACAGTCGGTGATGGTTTGGGGTGCCATGTCATCTGCTGGTGTTGGTCCACTGTGTTTTCTGAGGTCCAAGGTTAACGCAGCCGTGTACCAGGAAGGTTTAGAGCATTTCATGCTTCCTGCTGCTGACCAACTTTATGGAGATGCAGATTTAATTTTCCACCAGGACTTGGCACCTGCACACAGTGCCAAAGCTACCAGTACCTGGTTTAAGGACCAGGTATCCCTGTTCTTAATAGGTCAGCAAACTCGCCTGATCTTAACCTCATACAAAATCTATGGGGTATTGTGAAGAGGAAGATGTGATACGCCAGATCCAACAATTTAGAAGAGCTGAAGACACTATCAGAGCAACCTGGGCTCTCATAGCACCTGAGCAGAGCCACAGACTGATCGACTCCATGCCACGCTGCATTGATGCAGTAATCCAGGCAAAAGGAGCAACAACTAAGTACCGAGTGATGTACATGCTTAAACTTTTCATGTTCATACTTTTCAGTTAGTCAACATTTCTAAAAGTCCTCTTTTTATTGGTCTTAAGTAATATTCTAATTTTCTGAGATACTGAATTTGAGGTTTTCATTAGTTGTCAGTTATAATCATCAACAGTAAAATAAATAAACATTTGAAATACATCAGTCTGTGTAATGAATGAATATACAAGTTTCACTTTTTGAATGGAATTACTGAAATAAATCAACTTTTTCGTGATATTCTAATTTTATGACCAGCACCTATAAATCTGTTTCTCCGATCATTATCAGTAAATCAGGTTTTAAAGTTTTTGTGAAAACATTTTGGTTTCTTAAAGTTTTTTCAGCTTTTCACTATTTTAGCAGCTTTCAGTTCATCAGGAGCGGAATTTAACGTGTCGTTCACGTGTCCTTCACGTTGGCCGACTCGTGTAATTTTACCAGAGTCCTCCGGGTGTTCGAGCAGCTTCTTCTTCACGCTGCCGTGGACTCAGCAGTCGATCGGAACGTAAACAAACCTGCTTGACGTTAATAGCAAACAGGACTATGGCGCCTCGGCTATGACTTCCTGTCTGAACAGAAATCTTACTTGGCGACGGCGCCTCGGATGTTCTGAATCTACGGGTGGCTGGCGAGCAGCTCGTCCAGGTCAGCCATCCACTCCTGTGTGCTCTGGCTCTTTAGCAGCGAGTCTACCAGATCGCTTTCAGCAGCAAAGCTCCCTGACGCCACATTGTACCCGAACGACACCTGCTGCTGGTTGGTTGTCCTGCTCACCTGGTAACCTTGGTTACACTGCAGTCCCTGGTGGCCGTTGGCCTGCGGCTGTCCAAATGCTGCCAGGTCGGACAGACTCTGATTGGCCTGTTGCTGCTGAGTCTGCTGCTGATTGGCCATAGGCTGGCTCAGGCTCTGAGGGGTGGGAGGCGCCCTCTGCTGGGCAGCAGCCATGTTTGTTTGTATCATCTGCTGCCCAGCGTTCAGACCTGCCATTTGCCGTCCAGTGACATTGGTACCAAAGGGGGTGGAGCCAGAGGGCATCTTGGGGATCCGAGGCTGCTGCAGGTGGAAGGCGTTGGAAGGGTTGCTGAAGGCGTTACCGGTGGGAGTCTGGTTGGCGAGCTGCTGCTGCCAGGCTGTGTTCTGACCCATTTGCATTGACCTGGCCATATTACCTCCCACAGTGCCCTGCATGGCGTTTGGCAGGCGGGCAGCAGCAGCAGCGAGTTGCTGCTGCTTCAGCAGGGTGGCGCTGGTCTGCGGCTTCAGGTGTTGCTGGGGCAGGATGTTCTGCCTGTAGAGAGACTGGCGCTGCAGGCCCGTCTGCTGTTGTGGGTGGGTGGGATGAAGGTTCATGTTGTTGTAGAGGCCGTCCACGCCAGCGCCGTCCCCTCCACCACTACAGGACGGCAGACTGATGTCAGCCTGACTCACAGTGGGTCCGCCACCCTGACCCATAGTCATGGCCATCATCCCTTGGTTCTGGGAGAACATACGAGATGAGGGGGTGGGGCCTACCATGGACCCGACACTGCTCATTGGCTGAGAGGAAGCTGAAGACAAAACAAAACAAAAACATAACAACAAGTTAGTTTGTGTTTAAAATATTAAGACATTTTTACTTTTAATGTCCAAAAAGTCAAGAAGCAAAATCTTTAATTTAATTAAAATCAGATCAAGAAGCAGAATATTAGAACCAAGTGCTTGGTTTTGGTATAAATTCATCCCCAAACGGCCAGAATGAATTTAATATACCTGGGACTGAGGTCCAGACGGTCCAGTAAAAACCACCGCAGCCTGATGTATGACCCAGACCTGCTCTAATCAGAACCAGTCTTTTTCTGAGGAACCAGTGGACACCAGAAAGAGGCTCAGTGAGCCGTCAATCAAAAGCTAAGGGAGCTGGGTAATTTTAAATTACAGCATGGTTGCCATGGAAACATTAATACAACCATCATCAGATGTTAATAATTAATATGACAGATAAAATAATTACTAACAGGAGTTGACTAAAAAAGTTCTTCATGATTGAACATTTAATCTGTTGGGCGTCGTAACGCAACAGGAAGTGAATATTTAATCACTTCCTGTTGGAGGCTGGGAGGATTTGTTCCTCCTGATGTATCAGAGCATCTGCTGAGAACAGCTGATCAGGTGAGAACAGGTGCTTTTATTTTCCAGTCAAGTGAGCATCAAGAATCGTTTAAACTCACACACACACACACACACACACACACAGGTGTGTATGTTGGTCCTGAACATCACGACCCAAACCCGCTCTACCAGAACCAGATCTTACAACATAAAACAACTCGGCTCACTAATCAGAAGCGCTCAGCTGTGGACACCAGATAGAAAACAATCTTTATTTATTTAAAGGTTTAAAATGGCATCTTTCTCTGGTCATGAATCAGACAGAATGTTCAGAACCAAAAATTAAAGAAACACAAGTTTATAATGTATAAACACGTATATGTCACCATGATTACACTGCAATGCATTTTGGGTAAGTGATGTAAACAGGTTGCTCCAGTGCGAGCTCCATTGAGCTTGAACGTTAAATTTGGACAGTGTCCGACGTTCAGCCCATTGATTTGAACCAGAGCGCGTTGACAGAGAAGAAAGAAATGATTCTGCCTGTGACTGAAAATGATGAAGACTGAACGATGAAGAGGAGAGTCGGACAGAAAAGCTGCTGCTTATGAGAGATATCCTGATGCATGCTCACTAATCCAGGTTGATAAATGTAACAAGGTTAAGTCAGGTCCTCTGGACGGATAATAATCCGTCCAGAGGACCTGACTTAACCTTGTTAAATGCTTGAGAGAGCTTCTGCTGCACAGAGCTCCGCCTTCCATCACAAGAAGTCCATGTTTGATCGTTTCCACCCAGAAATTGTTCATAACTGCACAAGGACTAACACAAATATAACTTTGTCAAACATTATAACGTTTTAGCCTCAACTCATCGTGTTTTAGTCTCCACTGCAACCCATGTACATCATCGTCCCAGAATGCATTGCACTCCCTGAACATGCTTCATGCAGGTCACATGTTCTCCGTAAAGTGTGGATGTTTTCAGGGCTCCCACCTGTAAACTGACCGACTGGCTGTGGGAAAGGGTTCTGATTGGCTGGCGGTCCTGGCTGGTCCTGGTACTTTGGGGGGGGTCGGGTCCGGTGTCGCTGCAGCTCCTGTTCCTGCTGCTGACGCTGCATCTCCTGTGCAAACATAACACCACACAGACAGAAAGGACATGGTTTACTGAACAAACACTGCAGCTAAATGTGGATTTAATTTTTCACTCACCTGTTGACAACATAATTACAAAATACTTCTCCAGCTGATCTGAATTCGTACCACTGACTTTTACAGCCTTTTGCCACCCCTGGAACAGCTTTATACAGATGTGTCCCTACCATTAAACCCCCAAAAAACATTCCCCCCCCTGATATTAGTACAACTTAGTTTCAATATTTGAAATGTTTAATGTGTTGCTTTAAGGTTTATGCAATTTGCAAATAATTGCATGCATTTTCATTTTACACAAATGGGGTTGTATGTTCATGTACACAAATACAGTATGTAAATAATTTGGCTGAGTGCACAAGAACGTCTTTCTTCTCGACCTAAATATGTAAATGTGCATCAGAGGTACAGAAATCTGCTCGTAAATTAACTTTACACAGCAAACAGATCATTCTGTATTCCTCAGTTCGGTGTTTACGCTGCCTTGTGGGGAAAATAAACAGAAAACAATGATTAAAAGTCTGATTGTCTTTCGGCACCAGTAGTTACTTAGCAGATCTTTCACTACAACACTGTGAAAAGGCTTCACACACTCAGGGTCCAGTGGGTCGGAACATGTGGTTCAATGATAGATTATTTACTAATTGAATTTTTATGTACACTAGTCCCTCGCTACTTCGCGGTTCGACTTCTGTGTACTCGCTCTATGGCGGTTTGTGGACAATAATTAAATAAATTTTAAAAAATTGTACAAGACAATTGTGGATTGTACAGTAATATTACTGTACTCATGTGGTTGTGAAAAAGCTAATGACAAAAAAATAATAATTCGGACAGGTGCCGCCATTTTGTAGTTTTCTTTCATTTAGCCTCCACTGTACTGTAATTGCCACTCATAAGAACTACATTGCCCTTAATTCAGTGCTGTAGTGCCTCCAGCCTTTGTTTTCTACCGAACAGTATTTTTGCAAAGTCAAGTCATGACTGAAGAACCAGCCTTTCAAATGAATAATTTAATTCATGTAACATGGAAAATGTACATATATTTTTTTAAATAAAATTCAACTTTACAAATGTAAGATTTGCAAGAAAGTGTAAATCATATCAGGACATGTCTGTTTAAGAAACAGAGCATTGCGCTTACTAGTACCCTGGGCACTGATTGGCTCAGTAACCTTCCGTTTACCTGCGGGACTTCAACCGTGTTATGGCTCTCAAACGTTCTGCGTGTTCAAAAGTTTCTGGCGGCAAAACGCCAGCGGAAGATGCTGACGATTAAAGAGAAAGTGGAACTTCTGGACAGAGTTAACGCTGGCCGTACCTACGCAGATGTTGGCCACCTTTATGGCACAATTGTTAAGATGGAAGCTGCACTAGTAGAGAAGATTCATGATTGCAGAAAAAAAAAAAAAAAAACCCACTTTGGATACCAGCACCATCTGGACAAAGGTGAAACAACTTTATGATCGTCTTGCAGCAGCACGGCAGACATGGCGGGGGGGGGACCGAAGCTGGACCTTCGACCACCTGGTTCAAGGATTCAATGTTTTTTTGTCATTTGCACCCCATGTGGTACATGTGGTGGAACTAAATTATGTACACAGGGTCCCAGTAACATCAAACAATAAAATGTAAAAGAAAAACAGTAATAAGGTCAAAGATATGAACTAAGAAAAACATCAACTAAATATACACCAAGCACTAGAAGCACAAAAACATTACGCCAAATTCAACCACCGAACCAACTGCATTTAGTGCCAGCAAAGGATGGTTTGACAAACTTCAAAAACGATTTGGATTAAAAAGTGTTTCTCTGCACGGAGAGGCTGCGTCCGCTGATGCAAAAGGAGCAGAGGAGTTTGTTGACACAATGTTCAAAGATCTGACCACCGAGGGGGGGCAACAGGTCTGAACACATCTTTCACATGGATGAAACGGGTCTGTTCTGGAAATGGATGACATCTCACACTTTTATTATGAAGGACGGAGCCAAAGCCCCTGGTTTCATCTCATCATCTTCATCATCACTGGATAGCTAATTCTTCATCTCCATCTCTTCTTCATCTTCTCTGGTGACTACTCATTTAAAATTAACATTTTTTTAAAAGGTTTAGGAGTTTAGAAAATGGTTAGGAACACTGCAAGAGTGTGGGGTTTAAAATGCCTTAAGACACCATATTTTTCAGACTATAAGGTGCACTTAAAATCCTTTAATTTTCTCAAAAATCAACAGTGAGCCTTATAATCTGGTGTGCCTTATGTATTAAAACAGACCCATTCATTAATATTGCTCCTTATAGTCTGAAAAATATGGTATATGTATAAATAAATAAACTACTTACTACTTGTACTATCCCTACTTCACCGTTTTTCACTTATTTCGGGGGGGCTGGGACTACTGCATGTGAATGTTTCTGTTCAGTGCCCTGGGATCACTTCTGTTGTGACTTGGCGCTATATAAATACACTTTAATGAATTTTACTATCCTTATCTATTAGCTTTGTCTTTTAGATCAACTTAGTTGACTAAAAACATGTAGATGGGAGCAGATACAGGGTTTAAAGAATTTATATCTTCCATCAATAACTTTATGTTCAGTTCTCACAACTCCAGTCAACATTTATGTTTAAACTGATAATAAATAAAATAATAAATTATTTATGATGTTTAGGAAACAGTTTCTTTGACAATTTCACCTCCTTCAGCTCTGACTTTATAAAACCCAACAGCTCCATCTGGTGTTTGAGATGAGATATGACAAAGGAAGAGAAACAAGCACCTGCAGGAATCTCGGAGCCTTACCTGTTCGGCCATGAGCTGCTGTCTCTGCAGGTACTGCTGCTTCTTCTTCTGTTGCTCCAGCATCTGCTGTTGCTGCTGCTGTTGTTTCAGCGCCGCCGCCATCACAGCCTGGTTCGTTTGGTACACAGCGTTTCCTGCCATGGCGTTCACCCCGTGCGATGCGGCCATGGGGTTGTTCCCGGACCCAGACGTCAGGACGTTAGCAGGACCTGAGCCGCGTGGAGGAGCGGGGTAGGAGTTCTGGTCCTGTTGAGGAGAAAATAATGAATTTTGGCTGCCTTCAGGCCCAGGCCTCCAATGAAAGAGAGATCTGTGATCTCAGTGGGCTTTGATTGGTTGATTAAACCTGTGCCTGTGCGTTTACCTGTGTGTGTTTACCTGTGTGTGTTTACCTGTGTGTGTGTTTACCTGTGTGTGTGTTTACCT